GAGGGAGAGATAGAAACATCCACTATGAGAGAGAATCATTGATGGGCTGCTTCCTGCACATTGGTGACTGAGCCCGCAACCCAGGCACCTGCCCCGACTGGGAATCAAACCACAACCACCTGGTCCCCAGGTCGATGCTCAACCACTGAGCCACACCGGCCATGGGCAAGGTACTTGCTAGGTATCACCTCACTTAATCACCTCATTTAATCCTCATAATAACTCAGTGAGGTGGGTACTGTGGTAGGCAACGAAATGGTTAAAGGCCAACCAAAAGGTTAAAATGGCCGTCGTAGAAGAGCTTCTAGCGGACAGTGGCTAGGATCAAAAAAAGGGGGGTTGGGCATACACATGAGTGTGTGCTTGTGTGTCGGGGGGGAAGGTAACTCAGCACTGGGAATTCTGGGAAATTTCTTGAGTGAGGGGAAATCCTCTTCATGAAGGCTGAGAGAAACATGGGGTGATCTGGGGAGGGGGTTGAGAAAGAGGGTGCATTCTCTTTGCTTGCTAGCCCTCATCCTTCCACAAGGTGAAGGGCAACTGCTTCCTCTCTATGACTTCCCCGTGTGTGTGTGTGTGTGTGTGTGTGTGTGTGTCTAGGAGATGTGCAACATTTGTCTAAGGAGAAGAAACTTGGAAAGATGGACAGATTGGAAAGGCCCTGGGTACCATTTCCCCAGGGAAACTGACAGCCTCCCAGCATGCCTCAGCTCTTCCCCCTCCTTTGGTTTCCTATCCCTTTTGTTCTCTCAAACCCCCCACCTTCTGATCCCCAGCACCTGCCCCCAGGTCTCTGCAGATGAGTTCAGTCCCTTGCTGACTCCGCATTTACTCAGTTTCGACTAAACTTTTGTTGCGCACCTAATGTGTGCTGGACAGAAATGCCCCTAGAATGCTCCAGTGCTTCCCAAGGCCCTCACCTCCTAAGGTTTTACCGTTTTGATGGCAACATGTGGATTCATAGACTTCCTGAGAGTTGGAGTCGGTAGGAGAATCATCTTGATTCTCCTCCCTCATTATAAAGTAAAGGGAATGGAGGCTTTGGGGAATCTCCTATTGTCAGACAATGTAAGAAATGCAGGTGAAAACGGAGAATGAAGTGGGACATTGCAGTGTCATCTCCCTCAATATTTGTGTATCTGTTAGATGCGAGGCACGGCCAGGTGCCGGAACTATAAACACAATGAGACTCAGTCCCTGCCCTCCGGAGACTTAGAGTCCATGTTCCAGTGTTCAGCCCACTCAGGCACAGGCCATGTTGCTTCATTAAAATGAAACCGTTGCCACAGGCTTAATCTGGAGCTTCTGGTTTTGTCATTTCTCTTCCCCCAAAACAATGATCATTGAGACTCTTTGTAGCCCTTGGGGAAAGGTGTTCAAGAGGTTTGGGCGCACCTCCCGGAATCCTCTCCAGCAGGTCAGGGGGCTGTGGACTGGTTAGGTCTATGATCTCTGATTGTACTTCCGGGAGGACACAAACCACGGATGCTTACAGCAGGGCTCCACCAGGCCTGCACCTGGAGGGCGTTGCCAAAAGAGCTCCAATGTAACCCAGCCTCCAAGTCCCTCAGAGCCTCTGCCAGCCCCACTGCCCTCTTTTCATGGTGGGGGTGGGGGGAGGGTGGGTCTGGCCCATTCCTGTGGATGTGAGCAGGGCCTAGGCTCAATCAGGGGGGCCACGAGGAAGCTGCCCCACTTCCAGCTTCACCCCATTCTCCAGTCCACTTCCTAATCCCTACTCCTGCTGCCCTGCGGTCTGTGGTTTAGAAACCTTTATGTCTTTGGGACTGTGTCTTTGAATCTTGCAGAGAGATTTCCATGAAGCTGGATGAACTGTGAGCCCAGGGGAACTGGGAGAGAGGGCCTCCTGCGCAAGTGGGAGGGGAGGGTGGCATTGACTCGAGCTCAGGGTCTGTACCTGCAGTTGGGGAGGGACAGCCTTGGGCCCCCCTCAAAGCCTGTCCTTGGAATTCTCAGAGCTCTTGCAGGATCATAGTTCAATGTCGATGCAGATTGTGTCAAGGTCAGTGACCTGAGGTCAACCATAGACTTGTTCACCACATTTCCTCACACCTGGGATTTCAGGTCTTTTTTACCCAACCTGTGTCTCCAAGTATTAGCCATATTTTATACTTTTGTCTTTTGTTCAATGTGTGTGTGTGTGTGTGTGTGTGTGTGTGTGTGTGTGTGTGTTTCTCTCTCCCCCTCCATTCTTCATTATCTCTCGGTCTTTGTCTCGTTTTCCCTCATTGATAGCTGTTGAGTGCTCACTATGGAAGCTGTCCAGAAATCTGAAAATGTGGGTGAATATTTACAATGTCTGCAAGGAGAACATTGATGTGTGAAAACCCAGGCCTATTCTCCACTTGACCCCACACCTGAGATTTCAGGTCTGTTTTACCCAACCAAAGTGTTGACTACTCCCTGTCACCACAGCTTACAGGGTCTGCACTGCTCCAAACCCTGCAGACAGCACGTAGTTATCTGTTACCTGTTCTGCCCGCTCCCCATGTCGCCTCCTCATACTGTCCTCACTCAGTTGGAAGGTGAATTGGAACCACAGCTGTGTCCTCACTGCAGGGTCTCAGCACAGTCTTGCTCTCTCCCCTCTGTGTGCCCAGGACTCTGGGGCCTGGTGAATAATGCTGGCATCTCTGTGCCCACGGCACCCAATGAGTGGCTGACCAAACCGGACTTCGTAAAGATGCTCAATGTGAACCTGTTGGGGGTGATCGAGGTGACCCTGAGTCTGCTGCCCCTGGTGAGGAAGGCAAAGGGCCGAGTGGTCAATGTCTCCAGCGTCATGGGTCGCGTATCCTTGTTCGGTGGGGGCTACTGCATCTCTAAGTACGGCGTCGAGGCCTTCTCCGACTCCCTCAGGTACTGGACTGGGACAGAACCTCCCTTGGCTCTTCTGCTTCTGTGCTTCCGGGGAAGCCTTTTCCAGGGGGTTGATTTCACACAGCCTCAGAGGCTCTTCCTTCCAGATCCTTCTCTCTTGCTTTGTGCCAGGCATTCACTGGGAAGCAATTTTTTAAAAAAATCCTTGCCTGAGGATATGTTTTTATTGATTTAGAGAAAGAGGAAGGGGAAGGGTGGGGGGAGAGAAACATTGATTGGTTGGTTCTCATACACACCCTGATGGGGGATTGAACCTACAATCTTTTGGTATCTGGGATGACACTCTAACCCACTGAGTCATCTGGCTAGGACTGGAAGCACCTTTTTTGTTGTTGTTTTAGATATTGGTTTGGGCCTCACACAATTAGTTTGATTCAACCTGTCCCTGCCCACAGTCAGGAAGCATCTGAGGCAGAACTGGAACTGATCTTATTCCACTGCGCAGCCCATCCATGTACATAACTGCTATGGTAATTGGGTCCGGGGGCCCTGTTGTCAGGGAAGCCCCAGGGAAGCCCTTTATTCAGGGGAGCATCTTCATCACATCAGCTGTAGAGACTCCACTGGCTACAGGGCTGAGGATGGCTGTGATGGGGGGGAGCTGAGACCGCAGGCAGAGAGAGCTCCTTAGAGCAGCGG